AAATAAAAACGTTGAAAAAATAAATAAATAAATAAATAAATAAGATGGCACAGGCTTAATTTAATAACCAAGAAGTCAGTACAGAGCTCTGTGGGAGCCCTGCTGGCTTTGTGCTAAGGAAGAAGAAAGAGTAGGTCACTCTTTTGGGAGTCTGGCCACTGAAAGAAGTTTTCTCTGTGATGGGGGTGCAGAGAGGGAGAGGTTCACATGCAAGAGAGAAGAAGACAGGCCTGGAGGCGGTGGATGAAAAACCCAACAAATGGAGTTACAGCCTCACATGTGGGAGGGGATGAAAGTTGAAGGTTAAGTGAAGCTGGTGACATGGGAGGACTCATGTGCCATGTCTGTGGATTCTAAGAGAGGGACAGAGGAGGGTTAAGGGAGAGGGAACCCACACCTGGCAGGGGGGAATGAGGGATTAAGAAGATATATGGCAGCCTATCTCCTTCACAGGAAGAAATCTGTCCTCAAGTGGAAAGAAATGGCACCCAGTCATGCCAGTGGGCATCGGCAGTGAACATCAGGCACCGGTACATATACGTGGCCCAGCCAGCACTGAACAGAGTCCTCGTGGTTGATGTGCAAGCCCAGAAAGTCCTACAGGTACGTCTCTCTAAGGGAGTGAGGGGGGCTTCTGGTTCTGGGGCACAGCGGCCACATTCCTCTTGGCTTTTTGCACATTCCCCAGCTCCTACAAGAGGCAGTCAGACTAGGGGCAAGGGGCAGGGGGGAGCAAAGAAGGTTCCTGCACAGTTACTCATCAGTATTTATTGCCTACTATGGACCAAGCACTGTTCTAGTTTCTTGAAAAATAGCCATGAATGAGCAGTGAAGTCCTAGAACTTATATTCTAGTCTGTCAGACCATGTATCAGAATTTTAGAGAGCTATAAATTCTAAAAGCTATTTACAGGTCAAATGTGACAGAGGAACTGGACGACTCTTTTAAAATTGTATTACCATTTATTTCTGAGAGACAAAGCACCAGTGGGGGAGGGGCAGAAAGAGAGGGAGACACAGAATCCAAAGCAGGTTCCAGGCTCCAAGTTGTCAGCACAGAGCCCAACGGGGGGCTCAAACTCACAAACTCCTGGGGGGCTGTGAGATCATGACCTGAGCCCAAGTCAGACGTTTAACTGACTGAGTCACCCATACACCCTACAAGACTCTTTTAAACTGGTCCTCACTCTGGAGATTAATAGATTCTGATATAAATGTCAAGTGGGACTTCCATTCTGGGAGGGGAAGGAAGGCCAGTGGGGCTAGAGTATGGTGAGAAGGTGGAGACTGGGGTGCTATGAAGATAAGGGGTAAACCAAGGCCCAAGCCATGAAGAGTTTTCATCTGGGGAATGACCTACTCTGATTTATATTTTTAAAGAATCAGTCCTTTCTTTTTTAAATGTTTATTTATTTAGAGAGCCCACATGAGCAGGGGAGGGACAGAAAGAGAGAGAGAGAGAATCCCAAGCAGGCTCCGTGCTGTTGGCACAGAGCCAGACACAGGGCTTAATCTCACGAACTGCGAGATCATTACCTGAGCCACAATGAGGAGTCAGATGCTTAACTGACTGAGCCACCCAGGCACCCCTAAAGAGTCAGTCTTTTAAAGAGATTTTTAAATGTTAAACTTAGGTTTTAAAATAGGCTCTGTTAGAACAGACTGCAAAGCAGAGTTGTGGCTACTAAAATAATCCAGGCAAGAGGTGCAGACAGCATTGGAGATGGTGAGATATGATCAGATTCTTGATAGATTTTCAATGTGGAAAGATTTCTGCTGAGTTGAATATAAATTTTCAGAGACAGGCTGTTTTGGGTTTCTGTTTTTTGTTTTTTTAATTGAGAAACTGTAAACGGGCCCTGGGTGGCTCACTCGGTTAAGCATCCAGCCTCTGCTCAGGTCATGATCTCATAGCTCATGAGTTCGAGCCTTGCTTTGGGCTCTGTGCTGACAGTTCTGAGCCTGGAGCCTGCTTCGATTCTGTGACTTCGTCTCTCTCTCTCTACCCCTCCCCCACTCATACTCTGTGCCTCTCTCAAAAATAAATATTTAAAAAGTAAAAAAAAAAAAAAAAACATTGTAGAACGATGATGCCATGAATGGTGTGTGGTGGAATGACTAATGGCCCCAAGATGTCCACTTCTTAAACCCCAGAACCTAGGAACATCGCCTTATATGGCAAATGGTAGTCGGCAGATATAATTACATTATGGATTTCTCCTGTGGAGCCCTGAATCCAAGTGGAAGTATCCTTATCAGAGAAAGGCAATGTGAGGACTAAAGCACACTGCTGGCTCTGAAGAGAAGGGGCCATGAGCTAAGAAAGGCAGCTCTCAAGGCTGGAAAATTCCAGAAAACGCTTTCTCTCCCAGAGCATCTAGAAGGAGCACTGCCTTGCAGACATACTTGTTCAGCCCGGTGAAATTAATTTCAGACTTTCTGCCTCCAAAACCGTAAGAAAACAAATATGTGTTGTTTTAAGCTACTGACTTCGTAGTAAGGTGTTACCACAGCAATAGGAAATGAATGCACCATATAGAGATTTAGGGCCAGGTAGGAGGTGCATGCCCTGGAAGAGGTAGACAGGAAAATTAGGCATTTGGATTTAGGTCTGTTAAGTTTAAAGTTCTGTTATAAATGTAAGCAGAGATGTCAAGCGATTGGATAAACGGGTCTGGAGTCCAAGGTGAGTGAGGTCTAGGCCAGAGATGTCAGTGTGGGTATCATCACCATACAAACTGCTAAATCCATACAGAAGAGGTCAAGGTTGGAGCCCTGAAGCACTCCAACACTTAAGGATCAGGAAGGAGAGAAGAAGCCAACAAGGAAACCAAGCAGGAGTAGCCTGAAAGGTACGAAGAAAATTGGGGACTGCGGGGGACAAGGGGAGGATGCCAGAAACCAAAAGAAGAATTTTTTTTAATGTTTATTTATTTTTCAGACAGAGGGTTAGAAAGCTGTGCAAGCAGGAGAGGGGCAGAGAGACAGGTAGCCAGAGAATCCAAAGCAGGCTCTGTAGGAAGCCTGACTTGGGGCTCAAACTCACAAACTCTGAGATCATGACCTGAGCCAAAGTCAGATGCTTAACCGACTGAGCCACCCAGGCACCCCAAAAGAAGAATGCCTTAAGGAAAAGTTTGTGGTCAGTGGTGTCAGATATAGCAGAGACCATTTACATGTCACTGACCATTCAATTTGATATCACGTGGATCACCTTGGCAAGAGCAGATAAAATGAAATGGAATACAAGCTTGAGGTATTAGAGATAGTGAATACAGCCAACCATTTGGGGGAGTTTTGATGTAAATACGAGTAAAAGGAGTCAAATGAGGCAGTAGCTAGAAGAACATGCCAAAGAAACTTTTTTAGACTAGTTGACATTACAGCATATGTATGTATCTATGTATATATGTATGTATGTAATGCTAAAAATATATATATAAAAAAAAAAAACTCCCACACATCTTGGCTTTGTTCTGCATCATTAAAGTACGCAGGGGCCATTGGAATCCAGGGCAGAGAAGTAGAGTTGCTAGCTTTAGATAAAAGCACATTCTTTGATGTAACAGGAGAAAAATAGAGAATATTCAGGTATGCTTACAAATAGGTGACAGTTACATTTGGTTGTAGTTGGATGAACATCTCTTCTGGTTGAAAATTATCACTAAGCCTGGAGGGTTGGAGAGAAAGGTGAACGTTGCACGTGAGATTGAACTGACCAGGGAACTGTTAGAGGACTGCTGGACGAAATGTGAGCAGGATTGTGTTTACTTTCCAGCAATGCCCAGGTGCAGGGTCTTTGTAGGGAGAAATTTGGATATAAGCAGGGTTGTGGTTTCTCCTAGGCAGTACAGGAGAAGACTTTCTGTTACTGATTTTTCTGGCCAGAGAGCATACTCGCAATCATTTCAATCCTTGAAAATTCATTGAAGCTTGCTTTATGACCCAGCTGATGATCAATGGGGTCAATGTTGCATATGTACTTTACAAGAATGTGTATTCTAACGGGAGGTATAGCTTTCTGTATATATGTCAATTATGTCAAGTAGCTTCATTGCATTGTTCAGATCTTCTAAGTGATTTTTTTTTCATTGTTCACGGAGTCTGTCAGCTGCTGAAAGGTGTTGTTGAAGTCCAGCACTGTGATTGTAGATTTATGTAAAATTCTACCACTTTTGCTTTAAAATTGTAATAACTTCCTGGGACAAAGACTTCTTTGTTCTTAGAAAATATCTCTATCTCTGGCAATACTTCTTGCCTGAAAGTCTATTTTTGCCTAATTCTAGTATAGACAGATCAGATTTCCTTTGATTAGTGTTAACATGGTATAATTTTCCAAACTCCATGTATTTGGGTTTCGGCCTTTATGTAGTATAATAATCTTCATCTTTGACTTGGATAATTTGATCCATTTATATTTAATGCAATTATATAGTTAAATCTACCATTTTCTGGTTTTCTCATTTGACCTAACTGTTCTGCTTTTTTCTCCTTTTTACTTTCTTTTGGAGTAAACATTTTCGTTCTGTTACTATTATTACCACCATAGAGATTATAACATGCATCCTTGCCTCAATACAAATTACTTCACTTCCCTAATAATGATAGAACCATACAACACTAACCCCTTAAACTCCTCTCCTGCCTTTTGCATTATTGTGGGAATGAATTTTAACTCTGTATATAATTTAACCCCACAAGACATGAGTTAGTATTATTTTGTATAGTTGATAGTCATTTATATTCACCTCCATATTTACTTTCTCACTACTCCTTATTCATTCCTGAAGCACACAGTTCTGTCTGGGATCATTTTCATTGCAAATGAAGAAGTTTCTTTAATAGTTCTTTTAGTGCAGATCTGCTGGCAACACATCCTGAGTTTGTTTGTTTAAAAATAACTTTGCCTTTTATTTTTAAAAACTATTTTCACTGGATATAGAATTCTACCTTGGTAAATTATACTCAGCATTTTAAGATGCTGTTACCTTGTCTTCCACTGTTTTTGTTAATAGGTCACCTGTCAGTCTTATTGTCACCCTTCTGAAGGTCGTGTATCATTTGTTTTGACTGCTTTTCAGATTTTCTCTTTGGTGTTCAGCAGTTTCACTGTGATGTGCCCATGTACGGTATTCTTTGTATTTATTCTGATTTGGGAGTTCTAGTGGTTCTTGACTGTGTGGATTGATACCTTTCATCAGATTGGAATTCTTTCTTACCTCTTCTTTAGAAACTGTTAAAAAAAAAAAAAGTTAGATCTTTCCACTGTATGCCACATGTCTGTTTCATTCACTCTTTTCCATTCTTGTTAGTCTCTTTGTGCTTCGAGTATGTTCTATAAATTTGTCTTTCAATTCACTAGGCCTATCTTCTGCTATGTCTAATACGGATTTAACAGAACCTAATTATTGAAATCTTAATTCCAGGTATTGCATTTTTCACTTTTGTAATTTCTACTTAAGTATATAAAATTCTAATTATATTTCTATGGGTCACCCATGGGTCTTTCTATTGTCTTTCATATGTAGTTTTTAATCACATAGTCTGTGTAGTCATGTCTTGTAATTTTTTAAATGCCAGACACTCCATATAAAAAAAAAAAAAAAGACTTGAGATGGTTGTCATCTTCCTTTGCTAGGCAGAGAGAGTAGAGAATGAATCATTTTAGTCTAATCAAGTGCTAAGTTGAATCGAGCCTGAACTGAATTTTTTAAGGCTTACTCTGCTTCTGATTTATTCCTAGGCCTAGAAGTTAGCCCTTCAGGATTTTTAACTAAGAGCCTGGTATGTTCTTCAGTATCTTTTCCTTCTATACCTTTGCTCCTCAGCATATTAAGACTTCAGAACACTGTTGTGAATTTAGGAGATTATTGGTTTAGCTCTTCAGTCCGCTTGCTACTCCACACCACCTCAGAATGAGAATGTGAAATGTGATTGGAGAAGTGTAAATAGAAAGGAGAGAGGCAGCTACAGTCCAAACACTAGGGAAGTTTTGCTGTGAAGAAGGCAGACAAATGGGGTAACTCGAATAGAATGCATAATCAAGAGAGTTTTTAAAAGAGTTGAAGAAACTAGAGACAATGTCAAGATGGTATTACTGGTGGTGGGTTAAGCAGCTCTGGGTACAGGAAGACAGTGCCAGATCCTGGAGCCTTTAGCAAATGAAGAGAAGCAACCAGGAAGCTGGCAGATGCTGGGAACAAAAAGGAGCAGGTGGAGATATGAACAAAGGACCTGCAGTACTTGAATGTAGGAAGAGGCTTCAGGGGCCAAGGGCTTTAAATTAGAGCCAAAAGAGTGAAAGGGGACTCCACAGATGATAACGAATGGAGAAGAAATTTAGTTCAGCATGGAGTGAGAAAATTAAGAGTTCAGTTTTGTAGTTGTTAAGTTGATGTCATCAACAGAGGAATGAGTCCTAAAGTCATCAGAGTACAGCAGGTTATCTGAAGCCATAGAATCAGATGAACTCACCCAGAGAAAGGATGTAGACACAGAGAAGGTGGTCAAAGATGAAGACCTGAAACATGCCAACATTTTGAAATCAGAATGAGGAAGGGAAGCTAGGGAGATGGGAAGCTGAGAGAAGAGAAGCTTCCTAGAAGGGAGTAGTTAACCATGTGGAATCTTGCTAACATGTCAAAAAAGGAGGATCACAAAGTGATCTGACACAAAGGTCTTCAAACAGGTCAGTGGAGTGATGAAGACAGAAACTTGATGGGAATATTAAAGAGAAATGGATCATGGACTCCACAGCCAGTACTTCAGAGAAGCTTTGACCAATGGGGGTAGAGGTGGGTTTCTCCCCCCGAAAGGGTGACATCTTTAATGAACAGAGGGAGTGGCCAGGATGGAGGCCAGTGACAAGAAGAGCAAGGGTCATAGTCTAGCGGTATGAGCATCATGGAGGAGAGTTCTGGAACTTAGACAACTACATTATAAAAAGCAGAAAACAGTCTCCATTTGAGAGGGCCACGGGGGAAGCTCTGTTCTCCAAGGATAATAGAGTTTCAGTTACAGCAGTTAAAAAAAAAAATGTCTGCCTGAATCCTACAGTCTGGGTCCCAGAGCCTCCAGCTAAAGGATGTACAGATAGAGGCTGTGCAAAGAGACAAGACAGGTGATAATGGATGATCTCTAAGTCAGTCTCAGATGACACAGAAGGAAGGGCCAACTCACCAGAATCTCAGCCAAAGAACAGAATAGCCAAAGACACTGCAGGTTCTAGAGGCTCCAAAACGTTTCTAGGAGGCGTGGCCGGAGGGTCCTGAAGCTGATTCCTGAGTGGTAAATGTAAAGCCTCTAGGTTTAGACTTTTGCCAAGATGTCTTGGTCCCCTTTAAGTAAAACATGCACAAAGTTTATAAAAGGAATTAAATTACTGACAACGGTTTTATGCCTCTAAAGACAAACCCAGAAAGAGGCTTTGTGCCCTGGCTTCCCAAGCAGGCTCACTGCCAACGATGCTAGGTTAGCTATCCACTCACCTGGGCAGGAAGGCCATTTACACAAAGCCAAGAAATCACCACTGTGTCAGCTGATAAGAATGATGACCCACTTGTGCCTATTTTTTTTTTCAAGTCCATAGGTGTGGACCCTCTGCCAGCTAAGCTGTCCTATGACAAGTCTCATGACCAAGTGTGGGTCCTGAGCTGGGGGGATGTGCACAAGTCCCAACCAAGCCTCCAGGTATGTTGAACATGTAGAGACTGACACCCCACAGGAACAGAGGATGCTATCCTGTCTAATAAATGTCTCTTGCTTCCCTAGGTAGCTGATCACATTTATCCAAAACCTATCCATCAAGGTTTGAGGAGAGAGTAGGAAGTAGGAAACAACCTTGGGCCAAAGTCCCTCACAGGCGATTCACAAGGTGTCTTCAGCCAGGCCTACCTTTAAAAGATAATACTGATGATGGATAAGATTCTGATGTCAGGACAACCAGAATGTGGCTTCCAGACCCCACCTCTCCTGATCCAGGACTTTCTTCACCTTGGGCTGGGCAGGCTGGAAAAGTGTCAAAGCACGTGCTAGATGTGAGCCTGTAAGGAAGGAAAAGTAGGAGCAGTAGTTATGTCCATAAGTGGAAGCACATTTACTGAGTGCTTACAGTATGCTAAGCAAAGTTCACTAATTTGCCCATGTCCCAACCCAGACAATGTGGCTCTGCAGCCCAACACTCAGCCACTGCACTGTGCTTCCTCTTTGAAAGAGTTTGGTCACAGGAGCTTTGTGGGATCCTCCCCTCTCCACCCGTCAGAGAAGGTCAACATCACCCCTGTGTTGAGCGTGCCTGGCTCTGCCTTTCTCATCCAGGGATGCATTACAGAATTAAACCCTAAAAAAAAAAAAAAAAAAAAAAAGTGAGTTGAATGCCTGCATTGTCCCAAAGATCTACATAGAACCATTCTAGATGCACAGAAGTTAATTCATTTCATACAGTGGATGCCTCAGCACATTAGGGTTTCATTCTCTCTCAGAACCCCAGCTGACAAGGGCTGCAGATGGAGTCAAGTTCACCCTGTTCCCAAGACTGGTAAGAGCAAAGGGACAGCTGGGTCTACAGAGGCTTCGTCCAGGGGAATACCTGCCTGCCTACCTCTGCACGGTTGGGCCAGGGGGAAGACACTACTTCATCTCCTATAAATTGAAGCTATTGTCATTTGATGGATGCCATCAACGTGGGCCCCAGTGAGATGACAAAAAAAATCCATTACAGTGTCTAGAAGCCTGAATAAAGGTCATTCAGAGCAGAGCCTAAGCCCAGGGAAATTGTAATTTTTATTGGCCCTCCCTCTGGCAGCTCCAACAAAGCCTCTCAGGTAATTCAAGGGGAGGGGTCACCAAAACTTTTTTTTTGCTGAAACCAAAAATGACTGCCTAATTTAACAAGGCAGAGGAGTTGAAAAACACATGGTTTCACAGGTTATCTGTAAAAGAGAAAAACATGAGAGTGGCAGTGGATTTCTCACCTGTAACAGGAGCTGGCAGACTATGGCATCTACATGGCTGAGATCCAAGAATCCTATTCCCAGCTAAGATAGCCTTTACCTGGCAGGACAAAAGAAAGATACAGTATGTGCAAGAATTCAGAGAGTGCATCACTCACCTGCACCCTCTAAGCAACAGATTTGAGGAAAGGATCCCAGACAAACACCAGATGAAGAAAGATCAAGAGGAGACTGATGTAAAGAATGAACCCACGGAGGAACTAAGATGGAGGAAGACAGGCTCTCTGCAAATGTGTAATAAGTTCTAAATAAGTATGTTTGAATTAGGATAGACAGGCTGAAAGAGAAATCCTGATGCCAGGCTATAACCAAAGATAAATTAATTCAGTAAAAATAATTGCATGGAGGGGAGGAAAGTGGAGGGAGTAAAAATACTCAAATACCTTATTGGGGTAGAGAAGGTGTGGAGAATGCTGTTTGGAAGTAGTAGTTGGGAAGTGAGCATCTCATTATTCCAAATGTGATCAACTGAATTCTCCTAAAAGCAGTGATGATCAGACTTTGTTAGGAACAAAGGAAACTCTAACTTGTTTATAAGAAACACACATGGGGGCGCCTGGGTGGCTCAGTCGGTTAGGCATCCGACTTGGGCTCAGGTCATGATCTCGCGGTCCGTGGGTTCGAGCCCCACATCGGGCTCTGTGCTGACAGCTCAGAGCCTGGAGCCTGTTTCAGATTCTGGGTCTCCCTCTTTCTCTGACCCTCCCCTGTTCCTGCTCTCTGTCTCAAAAATAAATAAATGTTAAAAAAAAAAATTAAAAAAACACACATGAAACAGAATAAAAGGTTGAATGAGGACAGGTGAACAAGAATATATTATTTCTACTCGTGCATATCAGGCAAGGTAGGGTTTAAGGTCACCAGCACTAAAAACAGCAAACAGAGAGATACTATGTCTCTACTATGTCTCCAGTAGCCTATAGTTATCAAGCAACATTAACAACTAAATGGCCTCAAACAAGAGCAATTAAAAATACAAGGAGAACTTGGAGCACCTGGGTAGATTTGTCAGTTAAGAGTCTGATTCTTGACCTCCGCTCAGGTCTTAAGCTCAGGGTTGTGAGTTCAAGCCCCACATTGGGCTCTGCCCTGGACATGAAACCTACTTGAAAAAATAATACAAGGAGAACTTAATTTAACATGCACTTAAATTGTCCAAAGGATATGAATGACATGGGAAAATTGATTAAGAATGCAACTTGGTTTAATATACACCTTTCATCTGCAAAACAGTTTTTTCACACGTCCACATACGAATAGGTTTATCTGTAACCACAAAGGATATTAACCAATCTTGTAAAAGTAGATGTTATAGGCAACATTAGCTGATGAATTAGAAACAATTAAAATAGAACCTAATAAGACATTCCTATATAACTACTGGATCAAAAAGGAAGCTAAAAGGGAAATTAGAAACACTCTCAAAAGCAAGAGTAAAGCGATCATTCTACATCAAGACCAACAGGAGACAGAGAAGGCTGTAGACCTGGAGTGTCTGGGTCTTAAAAGCCTGAAGAAGTACTTGTGTTAAGAAATGAGAGCAAGAACAGAGTAGTGACAAGGAGAAGAAGAATGAAATTAATATAAACAAAACCAAAGAACAAAGAGAAACAGAGAAATCCTTCACAAGTCTGGTAAAGGAACAAAGAACGAATATATAAAATGAGGCATGAGAAAAGGAGTATTACTGCAGATACAGGAGGATAAAAATAACCGGAAATTAATACATGGCAACTCCGGGGCAGCAAATTTTAAAACCTAAAATAAGTGGATGATAGCTTACAAAATGTAGCCACCTGGCCAGCTCCATCAGTAGAGCGTGCAACTCTTGATTTCGGAGTCATGAGTGTAAGCCCCACGCTGGGAGTAAACACTGACCTAACAGAAGCCAGTAATAGAATAATAATTACAGGGTTTTTTTAAAGATTGAAGAGCTACCACAGAAAAACAGTTGAATTTTATCAAACCTTCAAAATATATTTTTAATATTATTTATCTCGGACCACAGGGAGGATAATGTGCAGCTTCTTTGTTTTAAATAGCCAGCATAAGTTTAATTAGGAAAATTGACTAAAAATTGTGTGAAAAAAAAAAGCTGTAGGCTAATGTCACTTAGGAATACAGAAGCAAAATTCTAAACATGGTATTAAAAACAGAGTCCAGCAGTGCATCTAAATGCAGGGAACAAAGTCCCAGAATACGATGATGGTTCACTCTCAGGAAATCAGTCAACATTCTCTTAACACAAAGGGGGGAGAAAAAACTATTTTCAATAAATCCTGAAAAGGCACTGAATTAAATGCAGCAGACATTCTCAATGAAATACTTAAAAACACGAACAAAAAGGCAATTTCTTAAATATAATGAACCCTATTTCCCAAAAACCAAGAGCAAAGTTTGCCTAAATGGCCAAACACAACTATTACAATCAGGAATTAGGTCACAACGTCCAGCATCCCAAGTGCAGAGTCTAGGCATTGCACTGTAACAAGAAAGGGACCAGATTGAATAAACCTACCTTCATCCCTATGGGCTAGGGTTAAAGAAACCACTACTTGCAAAAACTCATGGAAATGTCAACTGGCCTAGCCCTTGGGGTGCACAATTAGGAAAGGAGAACCAAAAGCTTCAAAACCATGCTTTTTTGAATCCAGCAACTTGACTTCCAAAGGCTATGATCATGGGTATGGACAAAAACTTTGTTTCTCAATATCCAACACTAAGGAACTGGTTAAACAGAACTTTGCTTGGACTACATGAAGGTGTTTCTATAAATGAAGCCCTTCCCTCAGCAGCCAGTGTTGGCTGGCACCTTCTTGAATCCTCCGTATCACTCCTTGGCCCACCAGTCCCAGACCCCCAGACCCCCCAGCTGAGCCTCCCTTCTCAGCTGGTTTTGTCTACCCTCTTAGAGAGATGCTCAGCCTTCAGGACTCCGCGTGAACTATCAAGTGACATTTCCTGATATCTAGCCACATATGTACGTCTCCATATGTGGGCTCCTGAAGCAAGCCCACAGAGCCAGCAAAATTAAGGAGTTGGACAATTATCTTTTGGACACTAACATGCGGGGGAACGTGCCAGGATGCAAGGCCAAGAAGGAACTCACGACTCGTCAGACAAATGAGGCGGTCACACCCACATCAGTTCAATGGCCCGTGGTACTGCGTTTTGATGAAGTAACCTCTGAATATAGGGTGTCAGAGTGGTGAAGCGTGAATGACACTGACCGCTGACAGCCTGTAATTTTCCATCTCTATTAGAAGCTAAAATGACAGGCCTGCGATCAAGCAGTGATTGTATGGCTTCTTGGAATTCTCTGGCATTTTCCCCTAGACACTCCCATGATCCAGTTTCCTAATGCTGATGTTTTCATGCCCAGTACCAAGAGTGTTTTCCCATGGACTTGCCATGGAAGTATCATTTGGCCATTTTAAAAAATCACAGAAAAATAACCTAATGCAGTGTGACAACTTCAGAGCTGCCCCAAGGCTGAAAATCACAGCCCTCCTCATTCCTGTCCGGCATCCTCTCTGCTTACTCCCTCCCACTTCCACCCCCCAGGAAGCATGATCCAGAAAAGACTCAAACTTCAACCCTGCCTGAGGAGGCAGGCCAGGTGTTGTTTGTTTCCCCATAAAAGCAAGAGTCAGAAGGCAGTCCTATTCTTAAAAGATAAAAGCATCCAGAACTCCAAGCCACGTGAGTTACCAAAGCCCCAACAGAGACTGTCCTCAGCCTCAGGCTGCATAAGTCTGGACCATGTAAGCACAGCCATACTATCAAGATCAGAGAAAGTGTCTCAGCTCTGTGTTCACAGTCTAGCCACCCCCCCCCCGCCACCACCCCCCCCCCCCCCCCGCTCAGAGGGTCTGGGGTTGACCTTGTGGGCCTTCAGCCTCATCTGGCTGTGGGCCACCCACGTTTCAGGGCAATGGCCTAGAAATTGGAGGCTGACAAGCACATGAAGAAGGAAAGGGGACACAGGCTATTGGGCATGGTGTCTCTGGCCTGGCCATGCCCAAGGCTGTGTTAGCTGATAGACACGTGCTCAGCCTGACCACAGCAGGCTTTCCGGCAGGACCTCCACACTGCTCTCTTCCCGCCTAATCTCCAACATCACTCGGCTCTGTTCTGCACTGCCACCGTGCCCTTCCCTGACACAGGCCCAGCAGGAACTGTCCACAGCAGAGAATGGCTGCGGCTGCCTCCTGCCAACCCCACAGAGAAAGTGGTACAAAAGAAGAAAGGGAAACAGAGGCAGCTATGCTCTGTCACTACCAATGTGTACAAAACACGGGGCCTGATTCTTGATTTCTCACAGCAGGTCCGTTGTGCAACTAGACCCCATCCCCAGCATTCTAACTGCAAGGCATCTAAATGGCTTGAGCAGCATCTTTGAATGGCATTTATGCAGGATTCCTGCTTTCTCCAATAAACCATGGAGTCAGTCTATGGTAGAGATGCCCAACAAATGGGCCCAGGCACCTGGCATCAAAGGAAAATAAGGAAGCAGTAAATACTTGCACCATTTAACATTTTCATGACTGAAAAGCTCATGAGTGAGAAAAGCTCACTCTTCCCAGGGTGGCCTGGGTGCTGAGAAGGTGGGATTCTCAGTTGTAGGGGAGGTGGTCTCTGAGCAGAGTGATCTTTCTCTTCTGGGGACCTCTCCCAGAAGCTCCAGCGTGGTCCCCACTGTGCCATCAGGGGCTGGTGATGTGCAGGCCCAGTTTTGGGTCAGACCTGCCTGCACAGGAGGGAGTGATTCAGGCATTCATACCTGTACTGCCCCTCTCCCCCAAAGGGGGAGTCCCTGCTCTGCTCCTGCCCCCCTCTCTCACACTGGGGGCATCTCTCTCTGAAGTAGCCTGTCTGCTGAGGGGCCTTACCAGCATGTGCGGGTGGTTCCAGGTTTCCCACCCCTACCTGGGTGGGCCCTCACAAGGACCCTCCCTCTGTGTTATAGGTGATCACAGAAGCCAGCACCGGCCAGGGCCAGCACCTTATCCGCACACCGTTTGCAGGAGTGGATGATTTCTTCATTCCTCCAACAAACCTCATCATCAACCATATCAGGTGAGACAGGCCCACGATGCCCTAAGGAACCCCCATAATCCAACTCAGCCCGGCATGTGGTGCATTTGCCCACTGTGAGACCTGCTCCTTCTGTGTCTCTGTCACTCATCCTGAGCTGGCCTTGGGCTCCATCATGAGGGGACAGAAATGGACCCATCACTAGTCCTTAAGTGCCTTAGTTAAGGAAGGCACCCAGCTCCTATGGCCCTCAGAGGCCCACTGAGGACAGAAAGTCTCATCCTCAAGGTGAGGACTATAGAGAAAAGGAAACAATAGTGGTTAATGGGTCACCCTCTCCTTGTTAGACACAAAGAAACTAGTAGAAGTGGTCTTGACCCCTTTTTACACATGCGGAAACCAAGGATTAGAGAAGTTAAAACACGGGCCAAGTTTACACATCCAGGAAGAGTCAGATGAAATACGAGGCCAAGTCTCTTTTTAGTTCCTTATTCTCTGCTGCCCACTGCCCATGGGTTTTCCAGAAGCCCCCAGAGCAGCCAT